ATATATATATATATATATAATCAGGTTAAATAATGTATCATTCATCCATTTAAAAGAAAAACGAATGCACTATCAAAAATTTGCTTAATACCAACAACATTACCGACAAAATACTTCTGTTAGTAATTTGCAGTCATAATTGCCGATTCCATATTTTTCGTCTGTAATTCCATCAGCATATTTCGATGCACTACTTCGGTCAATATATACCTATGAAATTACAGATGAAAAATTCAAAATTAAAAAAAAAAGATGATTCGCTAACATGAAAGTTTTTGCGGGTGATTTTACAGACAGGATAACTGAGGGATTCAAACCAACAGCTTCGTATAGTGACATGACCGATTCACTGTCAGAATAGCCAACAAAATCGTAGACCGAAGTAGTCTATTAGTGATTCCATCAGTAAAAGTTAATATATGACCACTCTACTGACTCTCTCCTCCCAATTTCTCCTTTTTTTTTCCCATCCCAACTCTCCCCTATTGCAAACAACCAGCCCCTCTAAAAAAAAAAATGTCCCTCTTCTCACTGTATGTCATATTTCTTTAAGTTTTGTGATTAAATCATTCGTGTTCTGATTTATCGGTGAATTTTATCATTTTTTGTAAGTAATTCTATTTTTTAACATTTCAACATTTAAATGTAGATTTTTTTTTTATTATATGTATTTTGTGAGTATATGTACATGCTTTATTATTATTTCTCAAACAAACTTGTATATTGTTTTTTATTATATGTATTTTTTGAGTATATGTACATGTTTTATTATTATTTCTCAAACAAACTTGTAGTATATGAATGTATAATTTTGTACTTGTTATGGTTTGTTTTAGATTTTGTAAAATTATATTTGTTTGTAAATTGTTGAAAATTTATTGAATTACTGAATTACATGTGTTATTTTAAAATAATTAATAACTTTTTTAATGGGCCCGTTTTAATTTTTATCAATGGTATTGCGAAGTTGTAACTTTTGTAAATTTATATGTATTAATTTGTATGGATGTTGATAATTGATAATAAATATTTAATATTTATGAAAAGTTGTAATTAGTTTGTTGGATAATTTCGAGGTAAACCAATATTTTTGCAAATTTATTTAATTAACATAGTTAATTAATACATGTTGTCATCATAATTTTATAAAGGTTCGATAGAAGTCACAAATAATTATTCATGTATATATCAAAATTCACCCCAAGAATTATGGAGGATGGATTATTGTAACGGGGTTCAGGGTTTTATTAATTTTGCAGCATCTACTCCCATAAATTTTGTTAGAGGTGGTATTAGGTCTCTATGTAAGAAGTGTCAAAATAAAAAGTATATGCATCCAGATGTTGTAATGATGCATCTTTTACACAAAAGGTTTATGGAGAATTATTGAAGTTGGTAACGGAGGAGTATTTATTCATAATAAAAGCACGAGAGAAAGGGTGGTTGAGTCAACTTTTACTGTTAGCAATGTGCATAAAATGACAAATGACAATACTAATCCTTACAGGAATATGATTATAGATGCAATGAGATTGAATCAAAACAATGCTAGTCAATCTCCAATCGTAAAAGAACCTAATGCAGATACAATTAGGTTTTTTGATTTGTTGAAAAATTTTGACGAACCATTATAGGATGGCTACACGAACCATAGTAAATTATCAGCCGTAACATATGTGTTTAACATTAAGTTAGATCACGGGTTGAGTGAGGCCAGACATGATAAAATTATTGAATGGGTGAGAAACATTTTACCTAAAGGGAATAGGCTGAAAGAGAACTTCTATGTTGCGAAGTCCATAATGAAACCCCTTGGTTTAGGATGCCAGAAAATTGACATGTGTCCTATCTTCTGTATGCTATATTACCTTAAAAAATACTGAGCTAAACGAGTGCATGACATGTGAGCATTCCCGTTACAAACCCAAAAAAGACTCTAGTGTTATATAAAAAACTTATATGCTTCTCAATCACGCCTAGACTGCAAAGATTATTCATATCACCAAGAACTGCTAAGCACATGATATGACACCAATCACATGATGCAGTTGATGGAGTGATGGTGGATGTTTCTGATGCAAAGCATAAAGACACTTTAACGGTGTGCATCATCTCTTTTCAGTTGAATCATGAAACGTGTGTTTTGGGTTGTATACAAATGGATTTAACCCATTTGAGTTATTTGCTGCTCCTTATTCTTGTTGGCCGGTCATACTCAAGGTTTATTATAACTTGCCACTGTAAATGTGTATGAGGTCGAAGTTCATATTTTTATCTACTGTCATACCCAGTCTGAGCAGCCCGGATCAGAATATAGATGTTTGTCTTCGACCATTGATTGATGAGTTGGTGCAATTCTGATCCTCTAGAGCTTTGACTTATGATATTTTGAGGAAATAGAATTTTGTTATGAAGGTGGCTTTGAGGTGGACTATCAATGATTTTCCAGCTTATGGAATGCTTTCTGGATGGAGAACGTATGGAAAACTAGTATGTTCATATTGCATGGAAAACAACAAGGCATTCACTCTAACAAATAGATGTAAAACTTCTTTTCTTGACTGTCATCGTTGTTTCTTGCCACCAAATCATAAGTATATAAGGAACAAAAAAGATTTTTGTGATGATAGAGTTGAAAAGGATGTTGCATCCCCGTGTCTTCCTAGTGAAGAATTGCATGATGTTGTATTAGAGTACGGTGATATTGTGTTTGGTCTTCAATCAAGTAAGCAAAAGTTTTCTGGTTTTGGTTTGATCAATAATTAGGTAAAGCAAAGTATCTTTTAGGAACTTCCTTATTGGAAGACCAATCTACTCCGCTATAACCTTGATGTCATGCATATTGAAAAGAACATGTTTGAGAACATTTTCAACACCGTCATGGATGTGAAGGGAAAGACAAGGGACAACATTAAGGCTAGATTAAATATAACTATGTTATGTTACCATAAAAATATGAAGTTAGTTTGTGATGGGTCACAGGTTGTAAATCCAAGATCAAGCTTCATGTTAGAGAAAAATGCACAACTACTAATCTATAAATGGCTTAAGAGTCTATATTTTTTTTTATGGATATGCCTCGAACATATCAAGGCTGGTTAATATAGAGGAATGCAGTTTATATAGAATGGAGAGTCATGACTGCCATATGTTTATGCAAACACTAATCCCATTAACTTTTCATCATTTGTTGCCAAAGGAGATATGAGATGCATTCATGGAGATCAGTCATTTCTTTAGAGATATATGTTCTAGCCAGTTAAATGTTGATCATATTGAGAGGCTTGAAATGAATATCATCGAGACACTATGCAAACTTGAGATGACATTCCCTCTGTCGTGGAGTCGCGAGCGTCGCGACGTCGTCTGACAACAACAAAGGCTTTTGTCATGCCTCCTATATGAGGTGTGGTGTGTTAAGAAGGATTTGTGAATTTAATCATAGAATTATGGTTAATGTTTAGAAGTCGCTACCTACTATTATGTTCACTAAGAATCTATAGTCTGTGAGAGTCTGGGTAAAGGATTGGTTGTGCAAGGGGAAGACGCATCACTCCCAGTGCACTCTACCTATAGTAAGCTGCACTGTTATTGGATTGTTCTTTTTCTAAGTCGGGTTTCTATTCGTTGGCTTTTTGTAAGGTTCAAGAAAAATCTCTCTTTATGAGAAAGTTTCTATCTTATTTGGTTAAATCCTAACCATTCTAAAATCTGAATTTTAACAACGCATTTATTTACACCTTGTATATTCAATATTTGAGGTGTACTTTATCGTATAATTTTAAACCCCATAAATATTAAATTGTTTGGACATGTTGGCCAAATCCTAATAGATAATCATAAACTTGTTATGATATTCAGTTTTGGATTTTTTTAAACATGAAAAAGATGTAATTTTTGTTTTTTTATGAACAATATATTTAAAAAAAATTTAGGATTTGGGCGTATGCATGAAAAAAATGTGTGTGTGTGTGTGTGTGTGAACTTGTATATTCAATATTTCAGGTGTACTTTATCGTATAATTTTAAACCCCATAAATATTAAATTTTTTTGACATGTTGGCCAAATCCTAATAGATAATCATAAACTTGTTATGATATTCAGTTTTGGATTTTTTTAAACATGAAAAAGATGTAATTTTTGTTTTTTTATGAACAATATATTTGAAAACAATTTAGGATTTGGGCGTATGCATGAAAACAATGTGTGTGTGTAAAGGGAAATTGATTTAACAAAATTTGAGATTTTTTTTAAAATGTTTTGAATTTTATTTTTGAAGTATTTCGGATAAAACCAAGTATTTTAATACCAAATTTGTATTTTAAAGTGTAAATATATAACTTGTTATTATAAAAAAAATTGTTAGAAAAATATATTTGAAAATTACAATTCTTTTTAAAGGATTTTTATTTTTTTATTTTTTTATTTTTTTATCCACTAGAACTGCGGGAAGACGAAGGCGAAGCAAGGGAAGTACCACTGGAACTACGGGAAGACGAAGGCGAAGCAAGGGAAGTAGACCACCTAGTGTGGTGGTGATGGCTGGCTGGCGAGGGAGGACGACTTGAAGCTAATGGTGGAAACGACGGTGGAGGTGGTTGCCCGAGTTGGTTGGAGTGGCTGCAGCTAGAAGAGGAAGAAGAGGAAGAAACAGAATAAATCTGCAGAGGGGAGAAAGAGGAGAGGAGAGAGACGCGATGGCTACTCTACCACTAGTAAATTGTCTGTTGCTGCAGGGGAAAGGTTTCTGTGGTAAAGTTAATGGTTGGAAGACAGGTGATGAGGGTGGTGATGGCTGAAGGCCACGATGGAGTGGGAAAGAAGTGAGAGGACCTATTGCAGAAAAGAAAAGGAGAAAAACAAAGGGGTGGCTGGTTTTTTGGTTGACTTTGAACCTGATTTTCCTCTCTCTCAGACCATGAAATCCACCTCTATTTATATGTAGTGAAAAGGGCAATCTTGTCTATATCAGGAAAAAATTTTAGCCCTTGATTCAGTTAGGAAGGATCCAAATTGTTAGTTCAAAGTAAGTATCCTGAGTTTTCAAATCCACAGAAAAAGGCTGTCTTAGGTGGTCTTTTTAGGTTGTCACTAGTGTTGATGTGTTGTCATTTAGCTTGAATGGATCACATCGGGTTATAGAGAAAGTGCAGATGATTATTTTCATGCAAGATTTGTTAAATTTGGTTGATGTTAGGTACATTAAATACAGCTGCAAAATAGGTAGCCAGATCAACTTTTTTCAGAAAAAAATGAAGAGAATCAATAGTGCTGAGTTCTGTTTTTGGCCAAAGTTCATTTCAGTCCTTCCTCTTTTAATTGCTTTCAATTGAACCCTAATTGACCCTAAACTTTTTTTATTTAATGCAATTAAGCCTTTAATTTTAATCAATTAACTAGGTAAAAATTAAATTTGATCTCTTAAAATTTCAATCATCTCAATTAAGCTCAAATTAGGCTCCCAAACTTATTTTTCACCAATTAAGCTCAAAATAAAATTAATTTGATCTATTTAAAGTATAATTAAGTCCTTGCACTTAATTAAATCCTTTAATTGCACCTAAATTAATTCTTAAACATAATTAAAATTTAATTTGGCTCATGATTAAATCAAATTAGCCTATTAAAATTTTTTATGCAAATAAGGTATAATTAAAATTCTTATGTCCTTTGACTTAATTTTTATGCAAATTCATCTAATGATCATTTAATTTGACCTTGAATTTGTATTTTTTCTTCATTTTTGGGCATAATAAGGTATAATTAGGCCTTGAATTTTATCTAAAATTACAGCTTAATTCCCCGATTTGCTTTCTCTATGTTGCCAACTTTTATTATTACTTTTTATTTTTATTTTGAAGAAAAAATGATTTTTGTGGAATAACCCAGAATTAGGTTATGACACCCTCCATTATTTTTTGACTCAATAGAGCATCTCCCCATACATCTACCATTCAAGACAAAAGTTAGAGGACCGGTTCAGTATAGATGGATATACCCATTCGAACAGTTAGATATTACAGTTGCAATGTAATTCACATATAAAAGTATTTTATTTGTTTTTCTTAATTGAAAATATTTGATTAGTCAATACAGGTATTTATTCAATCTCAATAAAAAAGTTAAGAATAAGATGCATGTTGAGGCTTCGATATGTGAGGCCTATATTGTTGAGGAGATTTCAATATTTATCTTGTACTTTTTTCGAACATTACCTGAGAACGAGAATCAATCGTGTTCCACGGCATGATGACGGTAACAAAGTGCCCTCTAGTGGGAATTTGTCAATATTCTCCAATCTTGGACAACCGATGATTAGTACTTAAAAGTATTTTTCTATCAAGGTGTTATATCATCATTTTCCGCTTAAAATATCAATAACTCTTTAACTAAAGTATGTTTTATAATAATAAGTCTGATACTATAAGATACCTTTAATTTATGGTAGATGTTCATTTTAAATGCAGGCCTATCATATAAATCAAAGGATTGATTGATGAATTCAACTACTGAAATTTAGAAGACAAAACGAGGATGAAGCTTAGAAAAGATATGCTGGTACAAGGATGAAGCTTAGAAAAGATATGCTGGTTTTGTCCAAATTGAAACACTGTTCGGTCATTGAGTCATATTTGGAGTTGTAGATCTTTGATTTAAGTTTGCTCTATATGGATGGAAAGCTAAGATATAGGCCTAAAACATTCATGGGAAGGTAAGATTGAATTTTGCTATTTGGAAGTCCAAATCTTAGCAATAGTAGAGATGTTTAAATCTGTCCTGCAACCCAGACATTGTTCAGTGTTCAGCCTATATCTCCAGTTCTAAAAGTCTAAATGACCTCAATTTTTTTTTTTTCTGAAAAGCTGGGATAATTTTTTAAAACTTTCATGATTTAAATCTATCAAAATTCTAATATTAGCAATGATGTTTTGTTCAGACAAGAGGATAAGGATTATCACCAAGTAAAGATATGGTCACCTACTCAATAATTAGTCAACAAATCAATAGTTTTTAATTTTAGCCTATAAAAAGAGGCATTTATCATGCATTTAGGCATCGTGGTTTCAGATCAAAATCATGTTCTTGTTGTCTCTTTATTATAATACTTAAGTTTTTCTTATATTAATCTATTGTTTATACTTCTTATTTTCCTTTCTTTGCTTAGTTTACTTTTATCTTATTTATATTTTTATCTTATTTATTTATGTTTCTCTTTTTCATTATGTTTAACTAAGTTTATCACGTCAAGGTGAAAAGGTTACATTAATGGTGTAAGAATAAGTACAGTATAAACTCAACATGAACCTTAATGTTTGATACTAAAATGTTTTGTAGTTGTTATCTTGTTCACTTTTAATACTTTGCTTGTTAAATAGTTAATTTAGATTTGTGTTGTATAATACTTGATACAACAAATAATTGGCATTTTCATAGCCCAACTATATTTATAACTGACACTTGTGCTATAAAAGGAACTTGAGTTGTTGTTAACATAAGTTATAATCATGAATACCTGATAACATTTACAAGTATTAACATTATTCAAATAAGATAACTAATGTAATCATGTTAACAATTTATAATTCGATTGGAACCTCCTTTGTGTGTGGTTTCTAGTTGAGTAATAAGAGTTTATACTTTACTTATTTGAATACAAGTAGTGGATCCTCTAACCTTGATAATTGTTTTTATTATTATTTAATCCTTTTATTAATATCACATATCAAAGCTCTCTTTGTTGTTGTTGTTGTTATTTATAATTTATATAGTTAACCTCCCTGTAATTTGATCCTAGTCCTGCCAGGTTATTTATTACTACTTATGCACTTGTGAGAACACATCAATCTTTTGGTCATGTCAACTCACACCTAAAAATACCTTAAGAGGAAGATATTTGTCGAAAATAGAGTTCAAACAAGCACATAATTAAGTTCTATTTAATTGTGATGAGGTGAGATCTTTTATTTAGTAAGTATATATATATGTACTACTAATTAAACATAGTTAATAATATACTATTTATATATTGCAATATCATACACTCATTATCACTTATAGACAACATCGATAATATTTGTTGTCCAATAACTCATAGCTAACTGAATCTTAAATCTTTCAATTACAAGATGAATAATTTGTCACATGGTTTAGAACACATGTAAATACTATCACAAACTCATTATCACTTGTAAAATTACTATATACATGTCATTCGAGATTCTCGTTTACTATTCATTGATGTATATTATGTATAAGGTTTATCAAATGGGAAGGAGTGCTGCTAAGTCATTGTCTTCACTAAGTTTGGGTCCTGAAAGAAAGGTTAAATGCTACAATGGGTATTTTATCAACAGATATGTGTTCTATAATGAAGAATATAGGTATGAAAGAAAGACATACACCAATGGTATTTGTGTTAAGAGATCGACTAGTAGTGAGGTATGAAAGAAAGACATACACCAATGGTGTTTGTGTTAAGAGATCGACTAGTAGTGAGTTAGAAGTTGACTACTATGGTAGATTAGAAGAGTCGTTGAACTGCAATATCATAGGAAACAAAATATAGTGTTTTTAATCAAATGTTATTGGTATGACACGAATGATAGAGAAATCAGAGTTGATCCACACTATGGTCTGATCAAAATCAACTTAAAATGATATCTTTGTTTTCACAAAGCAATATCAACAAGTTTGTTATACATACACTTTTTTTTTTAGAAAGGATCAATCAAGAGTTGATTAGTTATCCTTTAAAAAATGAAACCCAAGGGTCATGTTGAGGTTGTTTAGGATGAGAACGAAGACACAAGTGTGCGAGATAAAGTCTTTCAAGTTGTGAGTTGGTTGAACTATATCAAGTTGCTCCTTTGATTGACTTGGAAGAAAATTTAAATTTTCATGTTTTCAATGATAGTCTTGTTGATGTTGAAGTAGAGTTAAATGTTGTTTCGAACTCTAATAGATAAGCAAATGTTGATGAAGATGATGATATCCATATTAAAAATTCTGATGAAGGTAATGACTATTCAATTGAGGACGATGAAAAAGAAAATTCTGACTAACTATCATAATGAAGCTATGTGTAAAATATTTTTTCCATGTAATATATATTATAAATGATATATTTTGTAACATGAAATATTTATTTTATAAGCATGTATTGTTTAAGCATTGTTGTTATTGTTTTGTGCGATGTATATTTTATCATTTAAGTGTTTGCAAGAAGGTAAATAAGCAATACAAACATATCTTTCACGTACAATGCACTATCACTGACATCCATGCCGATGGCCTTATAGTGTGTCGGTATTTTATAGAGTTGAAAAATATTTACTAGAAATGCCATAATCACCAATGACTTATCGTGTCAACTACCTTCCACCGACATTTCACAGAGAGTTTAAAAAATATTATTGGAAATGCCACAATCATCGACGACATTGCGGACGGTTTCAATTCCATCCGTATTTCACAGTAGTGTTACTGGAAATGCCACAACCATCATCGATAACTTTGCGGACGGATTCTTGTCCATCGACATTTCTTAGTAGCCTCATTGGAAATGCCACAACCATCATGGACGACTTCACAGATGGAGTACTATCTGTCGACATTTCACAGCAGCTTTATTGGAAATGCGACAACCATCACCGATGACTTTGCAGATGGATTTCCATCCGTTGGCATTTCACAGTAGCCACACTAGAAATGTGACAACCATCACCGATGACTTTATGGATGGATTACAGTCCGTTGGCATTTCACAATAGCCATTTTATCACTAACAACATTGTGGATGAATTCCAATTCATCGGTATTTTATCGGCAGGTCACTATTACTGACAAAATCACTGACAGACAATGTGAATTTCAAAGGGAGGGGCATTAAATGCATATGTGATCGCATTAGTTGATCGATGAAATTACTAACAAACCGTGAAAAATATGAAGGGTAATTAAAATTTTTGGTGTGAAATTCAAAATTTACCAATGAATTTTTGAAACATCACTAACGGAATCAATTAAATTTACTATTATTTAATGGTCCATCAGTAAGTCTGTCAGTAAAATTTTGCTATAAATGTTAGTTCATTTTTCGTCTCTTCATTTCAGAGTTTCATTTTTTCCTTTCTTTTTCTTCAAGAGCTCTGTTTTTTTGGCTTGTAATCTTTAGTTCAATCTTCAGTAAATTAAAAGGTGTGCACTTCCTCTTCTTTATTTGCTTTAAGATTTTATTTTTTTATTTGTTCTTTGTTTTATCTATTGTTATTTTTTTTATTTAGTTCCATTAATTTTAATTTTTATTATTGAATTTAGCTTTTAATTAGTAATTGAATATATATGAATAAATTATTTGGTAATGTAATTAGATTCAAGTAATTTTTTCATTTGCTTCATTTTGAAGTTTTGTTTTTTCCTTTTATTTCCTTCAAGATTTTTGTGTTTTTTGCTTGTAATCTTTAATTCAATCTTCAACAAATTAAAAGGTATGCACTTCCTATTTTTCATTTGCTTTAAGATTTTATTTTTTATTTGTTCTTTGTTTTATCTATTGTTATTTTTGTTATGTATCTCCATTACTTTTAATTGTTATTGTTGAATTTAGCTTGTAATTAGTAATTGAATATATATGAATACATTTTTTGGCAATGAAATTAGAACTTTATTTGGCATGTATGTATATATTAAAATCCTTAGAACTTTACAAATTTTAGTTGTTCTTCGTTGAATTTATAATTGTGGTAGTCAAATAAAGATATAATTACCTCTTCAATGCTCCATGAAGTGGAGACATTGAAGATTAAAGTTTTAGATATTGTCCTTAAATTTCCAATCAAATATTAATTTGAATACTGTTTATGGAGTACTAAAAGACTTAGATATCCTAATAAACTCGTGACCTATATTATGAGATAAGAATAACCCAACAGAGAAAAATTAGAACTCTAGAACTTCTAGCATGAACCTTATTTTCAATTGGTTGTGGCTATTGTCAATATTTGTAGGTTTAAAAAGTTTAGGTAATCTCCAGTATATGGGAGGTGCTACCGAATTTTTTTTAACAATTGAATTTAATTATATAATTATTTGTATAAAATTATATAGATGCGTAGAATGAAATCAACAGCTCGCCGCTCATATATGGTCACAGTTAGTTCTTCTAAGAGCTAGGATGACATGTCTTAGATGTCAGTCAAGAAGAGGCACCTGCGTCGTTACCCGATGTTGCCTTTTCGAGCGCATTTCACAGTGCAAAGCCGGTGTGCATTCATAACAGAATCAATTCACCCGCAAGTACGAGGCACAGTGGAAAGATGATCTTTTAATGTAAGTTTGTTTTGGTTTTAGTTTTTTTTTAATTATCACATAATTTATGAACAACTAATTAATATTTCATTAATTTAATTTATTTTCAAGTTCACAAACATTGAGGCTGCTAGAGTAATATCATCGACGTTTAAATCATTGATGGAGATTGCATTATTTCAATAGAGTCAGGTATCCAGACATCTTGAATGGATACCTCAAATTGATGCATGGTTTGATAGATTTGAGGTTGATGTTAATTTCTAATTTCCAACTTATTTATAATAAATTATTAATATAATTGTAAATAAATTATCATTTTTAGTTAAAATTAATTATTTATACACAGAAAAACTTGGGAGAAGACATCAATCTTTTAGTCGTGTCAGTGCGTATGACACTATTGTGAGGAGGGTGTGGGAAAATCACACAGCAACTAGGTAACATCGAAAACAATACAAGATTTTTTTAAGAAAAAAATTTATGTTTCAAAATCTAATTTCTTACTATGAAAGTAGGTTGCATGATTTTTGGTATGAAACACATAAAATAAAATAAAAAAAGCAAAAGATAAGGATCTCCAAGGCTGGAATGACGTGGCTGTTTGAAGGGATTTCAATCCGCTATACATCCTAATAGATACATGGTCGTAATATCTTGAGCACATGATGTATGAGCGGTTCACATGATGCTCACAGCCCGGTTTTGGCAGCTGAAATGAGTCAATTCATGGCTTGATGACAACGCACACCAGCAGCTCCGATCCATTTGCTGCACATGTGAAACTGATGATAAGATTAATTTAAATGAAATATATTATTAAATAATTTGTTATTACTTAGTTAATTTTTTTTTCATTACAAGCTATGCTTTTTAGATGTGAGCTGAGCCCAATGAAATTGTTTGTTTATTACTTAGTTAATTTTTTTTCATTACAAGCTATGTTTTTTAGACGTGAGCTGAGCCCAATGAAATTGTTTGTTGAAACGCACGTGCGGAGTCAAGACTACCAAAAGAGGGCGCAACAGTTCATTAACAATCATGCTCAACACTTTGTGGTATGTTTGTACAGAGCGCAACAGTTCATTAACAATCATACTCAACACTTTGTGGTATGTTTGTTCCACCATTTTATTTTGTAGGTTATTATTTTTATTGAATTGAATATGATGATTTCTTTTCTCATTTTCAGGAGATCTATAATAGCCGATTAAGGGAGAGATACGGGGACGATCCTTTGACCCATCCAGATTTCAATCAGAATTTATGGAAGGAGCTAGGATCGTTCGGTGGACCTGATAAAAATCAGGTGCAAGGGCTTTCCAACACTATAGACGAGAACTTGCGGGCAACTCGTAGTGTCTCAACCGTTGGAAGCTCCGAATTAATATTGAGCACCTAATCTAAGGAGTTTGTAGTATTGCAGCAACACATGACTCAACTCACCAAAAAATATGAGCACTTATTGGCGACTTATGAACACACAACTTATCTCATTGAGAAAATCGAGCAACTCTCAGCGAATTATGAACAACTTCGCCAAATGATTATGAACATGGCATCATAGAATAGTGATACATGTGTGCCTCCATATAACAACTAGCCTCCTCCTCCAGCTCCACCATTATGTTAATTTAATATTTTTTTTAAACACATTTAATTTGTAATGAATATTATTTAACTTTATTTTTTTGTTTTTGATGTTTAATAAAAAGTTTATTTGCATAATTTATTTTTTTAATATTAATTTATTTAATTTTATATTATTTATTCTAAATAAGTTTTTAAAAAATATTTAAAAATAATCACTGGGGGATTTACCTACAGAATGGATTTACCTACAGAATGTATCCGTCGACATTTGACAGAGAGCGGGAAATGCCAATATCAACAATAAATTTACAGAAAGAGTATTTCCATAGGCATTTCACAATAGCTTGATGTAAATGTCATAATCACCGATGAATTTACTGAAGGATAAATTCTGTCAACATTTCACACACTCACTGACAACTTTACCGAAGGATATAAGATGTCAGCATTTAATTGAGAGCTAAAACATATTTACTAGATATGTCATTATCATCGACAAAATAATTTTTTTGGTATATTTCAAGTGAGATTTTTTTTGGCGTGCAATTTCCGTCTGTAAAATATCGACAATTGTTTTACCAACAAATGTAACGATAAAATTAGATATTACCGAGGAAAGAAAAGCCGATGGATGTTTGCCATCAGGAATTTCATAAGTAAAAGAAATACCATGAAGTTAGAATCATAAACTGATGAAATATTTTCGTTAATAAAACTATAAAATCTTATAGTGATGCTAGGTGAGGGGATTTGACCTGTTAAATCTATGCACGCAAGAACTATATGTTAAATAGCCTTTAACTTTATTTTGTTTTATTTTAAGAAATTAGAATAATTTTTAAAAATTAATGTATTAAAATAATTTTTAAGTAATTATACAATAAGGCATAGTATTCAAGAACGTTAGAGGTTTTTTTTATGGTATTATTAATAATTAGTTTATGATTAATTATATATTAACATAATATGAAGATTGTTTATTTTAAAAAAAATGATCATTATTATTCAATAAAAATAAAATATCTGTTTTGTTTTTATTGTAAATGTTTTATATAATTTTCACATTTTTATTATTCTTACATTTATTCATTCATGTGAATAAAAATGATTAATTCAGGATTTTGTTTGATTAAAACCTAGTTTCACTGTCATAATAAATCTATCTTTTACTGTACCCATCCAAATCTTCAAAATCTCCACATCCAGACTCGTTTTTTTGTTTTTTTGCCCACGGGATGTCCTTATGTCGGCAACATCTTCGCTTCTCATTATTTTTTGCGTGCAGTTATTTGAATTACGGTAATAATTGTTTTTTAGAATATTTTTTAGTTTGAAAATATATTAAAATAAAATAAATTTTTTATTTTTTAAAAATTATTTATAGCATAGCATATATTTAAAAACATAAAAAATAATAATTTAAAATGAAAAAAATAAAAAATAAAAAATTAAATTTTTTTTGAAACACAAAATCCATCAGTATCGAAATTTTTCCACATTGTTTAACTAAAGTGATATTGGAAATAGTCTTTTTGCCCACCTGTCCCTCTTTTACAGGAATACGAGGCTTTGTCCTTCCTTCCATATCAGTTGAGTATCTGGGAACTGTCAAGTGACTGTTGCATGGCGGGAATCTGCGACTCCATATCCAATCAAGCTCCTTTCGATGCCAACTATGCACCTGGGAGGGTCCATTCGTACGTGTAAACCGCTCGAAAAAACATGACTGCTTTTGCTAACTAGGTTGTGCTCGTCTTTTTCTAGGATCTTTCATGGATGGCCACAAAATGTGCTTCCTGTACCGTGTAGCCTTCGATGCGTGGACGGCAAACATGTCCTTGAGGCATAGTAGCCAGCAGTGAAATGCTGTCTTTTGTCCTTGTTACCTTGCTGACAGCTTTATCCAGCTGCTCCCAAAAAGGATACGAGAGGAAAGTGAGAAGTTTTACCATGGATATGCATTACGTGTGGCCGTGTGAGGTACGTGAAAAGAAGATGGTTATGTGATCAACCGTCGTCGAAGCATAAACTCTTTACGTTTTTCAAAATCTGGACCTGGGCTTTGTAAAGTACCTACTTGGGCGACAAGCTGATAAATCTGCGTCGAAATAATACTTACCTCAGTAGTACAAGATGTAGCCCAGCAAAAGTAGATAAGTATAGGCCTGTAAAATTTTAATCCATAGACGTTGAAGTACCAGGACAAACAACGTAGTGGTAAAAGTAGCAAGTGAAAATGAGTGGAGGACCATGTAAAAAGTAGGGCCTCCTTTTCCTCCTCCTCCTCGTTATTGTTATTGTTATGAAATAGATGTTTTGTTAGTTATTATTATTATTGTTATGAAATAGATGTTTTGTTAGGATTATCTTAAATTACATATTCAAATAAGAAAAAAAATAAATGTAAAAGAGTATTTGAAAGTATTATAGCAGTTATTTTTCAAAGTGTTTTTTATTTCAAAACATATTAAAATAATAATTTTTTATTTTTTTTAAATATTTTTGATATTAACACATCAAAATAATATAAAAATATCAAAACATATTAATTTAAAGCAAAAATATTCTAAGTTTTTCAAAAGCACTTTCCAATCGCAGTGCCAAATACTATTGGTGTATTAAGATGTTATATTTTAGGATTAAGATTTATTTGTGAGTGTTTTTATTCTTTACACTTTGTAGCTAGAGAGATCAGAGATAAAAGTGAGTTTTAGGTACCTTTGAGATTTTGGATGGGAGCAATTTTGTGTGACACCTTATAATCTTCTACTTTTTTATAGTGAATTTTCCTTATTGTCTCACTCGTGGAATATGCCTAAGTTGCAAAACCGTGTCAATTTCATGTGTATTATTGTGTGATTGATTGTGCTTGTCTTTTATATTTCTCTACTTACCACTTGGTTTGAGGTTTTAGGGTTTTTGTTATAAACTAGTATCAGAGCTCGCTATTTTTATCAATTGGCTTTTGCAATGGTGAAAAAAGTAATGTCAACAATGGAATTTGATATAAAAAAATTTAATAGTAGAAATAACTTCAATATATGGTGTATTAAGATGCATGCCTTGTTAGTTTAACAAGGTTTATTTAAGGTATTAAAAGGTATAATCAGTTTACCTAAAGGGATGAATGATGAGGATAAATAAGATCTTATGGAAAGGGCACATGTTGCTATTTTGCTTTGTTTGTCTAATGAAGTTCTTAGAGACATTGTTGAAGAGACTATATTTGTTGGGTTATAGACAAAGGTGGAAAATCTTTACGTGACTAAATCCCTAATGAACTTATTGTGTCTGAAGCATCAACTGTATACTCACTAGATGAAATAAAATATGCCTATTAAAGACCATCCTGATGAATTCAATAAAGTAATCCCCTAAAAACTTTGATTTTATCATGTTTGTTACTTCTATATTATGAACAATTTTATTGATATTTTGCTATAAAAAGGGATAATTTTAGTTTAAAAGATGTCAAAGCTTTCTCAAACTCTAGAAAGCTAACAAAAAAGAGTGTTAAAGAGTCATAATGATTGTAATACAAAGGGTTTAGATACGAGGATAATAAGAAATAATAAGGTTTAGGGTAGTGGAGGCAAGTGATTAGTACTTAAAAATGTATTTTTATCAAGGTTTTATATCAGCATTTTGCACTTAAAGTATCAATAACTCCTTAACTAAAACATGTTTTATAATAACAAGTCTGATACTATAAGATACCTTTAATTTATGGTAATTATTCATCTTAAATGCAAGGCTATCACATAAATTAAAGGATTGATTGATGAGTTCAACTATAAAAATTGAGAAGACAAAGAGAGGGTGAAGCTTAGATAAGTGATGCTGGTTCAGTCCAAACTAGAACACTATTCAGTTATTAGGTCATATCTAGAGTTGTTGATTTTAAATTTTAATTTGGTTTATATGACTAGAAAGCAAAGACATATGCCTAAAACATTCATGAGAATATATGACTCAATTCTGCTATTTGGAAATCGAAATCTTAAAAACAATAGAGAAGTCATAATTTGTCCTATAGCCTAAATACTATTAAGTGTTTAGCCCATATCTCAAGTTCTAGAAGTCCAAATGCACCGAATTGTTTTTGAAAAGTTGAGACAATTTTCTAGAATTTTAATGAGAAAAGTTTGTTCAAATTCTGACATTAGTAATGAATTTTCTTTAGACAAGAAGATAATAATTGTCACCAAATCAAGATGTGGCCACCCACTTAGTCATCAAATTAACAGTTTCAAATTTTAGCCTATAAAGCCTTGAAAATTATTTTATGATTGTTTAAATCCTCACATTAATTTTACATCTCAAAGTTCTTTATTATTATTATTATTATTATTATTATTATTATTATTATTATTATTATATTTAACCTTCTTATGGTTCAACCTTAGTCTTGTCTGGTTATTTATTACTTCGAAACTCCTATACTTTAGAGAAAACATCAATATTTTGATTGTGTTAGCATGTTTAGATCAAAATCGAAGTAAAAAACAATCAAATACTTTGAATGTCATGAGGTAGAGCATTTTAAAAAGAATTGTCCTAAGAAGAAAGATAAGAGAAAGAATGAGGAAAGCTCTTATGTTACAAATATTGCAAGCAAAGGAAAAATTTTCAATGAAGCCGAAAATATCTAGGCTATGTTTGTTTATGGCTTAGGTGATGGGTGGATTTTTTTATTCTACTTGAATGTTTCTTATTTTTCCCAATAGCAGCTAGTTTTATGCTTATAAAGTTGTCAATGATATTGTTTCATTAAGGGACAACAAAGAACTTTCTATTATTGGTGTGAGTACTATTTGAATTAGAATGTATGATGATATTATTAGAATAATAGAGGTTCAACATATTCCAAAGATGATTAAGAATTTGATTTTTTAAGTCTTCTTGATTTCCAAAGTTATGATTATTCTGATAAATGTGAAGTTCTAAGAGTTTGTAAAGGTGCTTTTACCATGATGAAATGAAAGTTAGTTAATGACCTCTACCATCTTCAACGTTCAACAATTACTAATTCAACTTATGTATC